GCACTGGGAAATTATTGGATGTGAGAAGCCCAAAATAGTAACTAAATGAAGGAATTGCTAGCTTCATCACTGAAGTGTGAAGATGAAACGATAGCTGATCAAAGCACCAAATACGAAGGCAGGTAACGGTTCATGTTATTTAAACTCAAGTGAAATTAAGAAACAGTTTTCAAGTTAATTTGAAGTTGACTGCACTTTATTTGCAACAGGAAATTCCGAAGACGACGCAAGTCCTCTATATTATTTGTTTTCTTCTCTTGATAATTGATGTGTCTTAAAAGAAATATCACATATGGTTTGTTTACAGTTGCGAGCGAAATTGTTAGATATTTTTTAGTCTCATGGTCACGACCCACCCTACGCACACATGCTGCTCGAAGGGACCCTGACAGCCTTTGCTTCAAGCATCGTTTGCCTCAGGATCCTATTTGCCTAAGACAAAGTTTTGAAACGCGTATGAACAGTAGGTGCTCAAATTTTTTAACACTACGCAGGTCAGAACAGCATTTTTGTGTAGTCTCTACAAATTCCGCGTCATCAAATTACCACACTGTTCATTCGAAGGGCCTTGCTAGTGTCATTAAAGTTAGTTTATTCAAAAATATTGATTAAATTCTGTAGGCTTGTGGAAATAATGTTTTTGGCAAATTGAAATTCCAGATTTATCACTTTTTACTTTGCCTTACCTGTTGTTCGCCAGTTTCCTACTTAAATGCGATCTCAGGCCTACATCAAACTCAGGCAGCAGCGCACCAAGCTTGCTGGTGAGATAATGCGATTTGCGCTAATCTTGGAGCAACCAGGTCATTAGACGCGCCTCGACGCCGAATCTAAAAGCTTAGTTCGCACGTAGGCCTAAATTTTCCTTGTAAAACTTCAGCTTCCCAGATTGCTCCGTTTCCGAAATTGCCAACTTTGCTGCATATATTTTCGACGTGTGTATGATTCGCGTGCAATCCAAAGCTCAATTTTGGTGTGCGAGATTCAAACACAGACAATGAATAATCGTGCATACTTCTGACAAATTTTTTAATTGGCACCTTTCAGCGTTGAGGTGCTTGAACGCTTAAGGCAGTCGTTAAAAATAATAGCTAAATATGAAACTTTATGCTTTACATGCGGGCTGCGAATGTTTATGCAAAGTTTTAGCTTCCTATGTTGACTGGTTCTCATAACCGTTCGCCAAAAATTTACATGTTTTCTTTCGGTTTCTGTTTGTAGAACCCAAGCGTACGTGAACGATAATTTCAAAACGGAAGGATCGAGCACGGAATGGAAATATACTCCAAGTGCTTAAGCCTCCTAGCTTCCCTGACTGCTAAGTTGAAAGTGAGTAACAAAATCCAATAGCCTACAAATACAACGGCACACGCACACGTACACAAACACACACACACACGCACAATAAAATCGTCTTGACAATGTGCGCTCGTAGCGCAGTAGCGCATAATAAGCAGTCGAAAATAGAAAAATTATGAAAGAAAAAGCATCAAAGAAAATTGCAGGTACAAGTGTAAATTACAGATTCGCGATTATGATGACTTAGAATACTTGGGTAATATAACAATCGGTACTCCGCCGCAATACTTCCAAATTGTACTGGACACGGGCTCTTCAAATTTATGGATTCCATCGGCAAGTTGCACATCTCTCAGCTGTACGGTTCATAATCAGCTCAATGAAACAGCTTCATCGACATATGCAAACAACGGTACATCATGGCATATTGGTTACCTGGATGGATCCGGTGCTGATGGCGTTCTCGGTACGGATATTGTCCGTGTGAGCTATTGCCCGTTTCTCTTCGAAAATTGATTTCATTCAGTGAAACATCGTTCAAAGATTACAAAGCCAAATCGGTAGCAGACAAAAAATTCATACTTATTGCAGAAGCTTGCCCAGTTCCCATTTTGGCCAGCTTTCTCCTGAAGATGTGATAGAGCAGTTTTGTTCTAATTGCTCTCATTGTCACTGTATGTCATGTCCTAGCTATTCCAGCTGTCTCGCCGCAGAATAAGTATAGTAACTAGCCAATGTTAAACTGATTATTGTATACAGCTGGCTAGACTACCAGCACCTTGCATCAATAAGATAGATTTTTGCACAATACTTCATGGCTGGCGAAACCAAAGAAGGCGGAAGCTGAATTGTCTGCCGTCAAAGTTGGGGAAAGTTCTAGGGTATAAATTTTAATAAATATGGTGTGTAAGGTCAGGTGTGCGTGTGCGCTGTTCTGTTAGTCAAACTTCGGTGGAGTGCCTATCATGCAAGTAACTTTT